TGCCCGAGCGGGGTGTGCACCAACCGCTGCAAGAGGTGCAGCATCCAGGGTATGGAAACTGCAGTTCGGCTGGGAGCTAGAGCTACAGGAAAGGGTTAACGGCCCTTGGGCTTTGTTTTTCCCACTGGCACAAAAACATCTCTTCCTCTTAGCAGAGGCAAGAGAAACTTTCTGATATTGTCTTTTATCTCTGTTATCGACCAGAAGGCTTCTACGCTTCCTTCTCGGTGGGGACGCCAGGAAGAGGAGCACGGGGTGAAGCCAAGTGTGATACAGGCGGATAAGACAGCGCTTCCGCGGCTCCCTCCTCGGGGGGTACCCTCGTGTGAGGGGAAAGGAGGTGGGTTTCTCCCACGCTGCAAGGCCAGCAGGCAGCGGGACCCCCAGCCCCCGGACACAGCCATGAGGTGGGTGTGCAACTGGCAGAGGAGGACCCATCCGACAGGCTTGACTCCTGCCCGCAGATGAGCTGGCTCTGGGACCGAGGATGTCATTTTTTTATGAGTGCTTGCTAGGACAGTTGAAGCGGCTCTGTTTGGGCCCCAAATGGAAAAAGGCTTTTGGATAAATTCTTCTGCCGGCTCAGGCCATCGCTCATGGCTCACTGCAAACTCTAAGGGGAAAACAGTTTCATCCAAAAGGCCCAGCGTGAAGGGCTGGCTCCGTCAGACCGTCTCAGCAGGCCGGGCTCCATCTCCAGCCCAGGGAGCTGAGTGAAGCAGCACCCCGAGCAGCTCTGGCTGGTTCTTGCAAGCAGCCAAACACTGTCGTAACCATCTCAGAGGTGCCGTGAGAGCTGCAACACCCCTGTGCGCCAGGACCCGCAGCCGTTCGACAGCTGGCGGCTGGCGGCACCGAGGTGAGGCTCCCTGGCTGCTGTCTGGAGATCAACCGTGGTGACGAGGACACCTCCAGCACCCGGCTTGTTTCCGGTGATGGAGGAAGCGCGGTGCAGGCCGTGGTATTTTTGGAGCTCTGTGGGTACGGTGTGCCCTGAAGCGTGGCTGCCAGCGTGCCCTGGGGGGACAGCCCTGCAGAGATGGCAGCTCTGCCACGCCACACGCTGCACCCTGGTGCATTCTCACTGAGCAGGGTGGGCAGGGTGATGGCAGCCTGGGAAGGCGCCGCAGCATTCCCAAGGAGTGAGAGATCAGCACTTCTCCAGCT